ATTTAGGAAGTACTGGATTTTCTTTTTTTTTTTTTTTTAAGCATGTATAATATCAAAAGCAGTTAAAGCAGAACTCCAAGAAAGCTTCTAGAGGAGAGAATCATTATTTCTGAAATAACCTACTTCTCTGCCATCATCTCGAGCACTGCTGGGAACTTTGGCCCACAAGGATCTTAATGTACTGTTTGCATAATAAAACAGGGAATTGTCTCACAGAACAAAAGAGCTATAAGGAAAGTGGCTACATTAAATAACGTAAAATTACTCAGTAGCAAATCATCCCAAATTTGCGTAAGAGGAAGAGCACTAAAAGGTGCTGAATTACCACTCAGAATATCTGAGAGTGCAGGTTCATAACCAAGATAAACAATGTGACATCCAAATGACTGCCCTAGCGTGCACCTTGCTTATCCCCTTGGTCTCTCACCACATGTTTTGCCCCCTCCTCTGTCTCACCACTCGCCCCTGTAAAGGATAAAGGTGACTGTACGGACAGAAATGAGGGTTGGGGACACAGACAGCAGGACCACCTCTTCCAGCAACAGTACAAACTCAGACTGGTTGAACCTGCTCATGAAACTGCCCACCCAAGTTCAGTTATCGCCCACCTCTCCAGCACCCAGAGCCCATGGCATCCTTCTCAGCAGCTCTGCTTTGCCTATTTACCCCGTGAGCACTTAGGTGAGACCTCAGCCAGTCCCCTAGGACCAGCCGAAAACCCATAGGTGGGCAGAGAGCTGCTACCACCCCTGCAGCCCCACACGGCCATGCCCATCGCAGGCAGCAGGGCAGGCAGCGCTCCCTCACTGCCAGGGCGAGCGGGAGGACATCTCTTTGCACGGGGACCCACAGCAGGGCAACTCAAACTGCAGGGATGCTGTGAGCCACCCGAACGGACCCCCACCAACAAAGACCACTTAATCCCCCTACCACTCCCTGCCAAGTCCCTCCCAGTTGGTGGGTCCCTTCCCTGGATCACCAGCATCAAGGCAAACAGGACCGCGCCCAGAAGCAATACTGCAAGTGTTCTGCATTTCCTTAAAAGCAGCCCACATGATAGAGAAATTAAAAATAATAGCTCCAGCTGACACAGAAAGACCTGATAGAGCAGCAGAGGGAAACCAGAGCCTGCCTAGCCTGTTTGCAAGATGCTCAGGTGTTGTTAGGACTGCAGTTAAGGGCTTTAAAAAGAAAAAATGGTTACCATTACCATTACTTGCATCCAGCTGCAAGTGGAGCTCTGGGCTCAGTCTACTGAGAGAATGGATATGCTGCCATAAACACGAGCCCAAAGCCTGGTCCAGGACACGGTGAGGCAGTCACGCACACCGAAGGCAGATCACGATGCTGTTTTAACTGGGGGTCTGATCCAGCACAGCCTGCATTTCCCTATGAGCAGCTACACACCACTCACATGCTGGAAATCTTGCGGATAGGTTTGCATGCCAGCAAGTGTGGTAGTAGTAGTGGTCTAGCCAGACATCCAAAACATATTGGCACCACTATAATTTGTCCATTCACCAATATGTTTTCCTAAAAGCGCCCATATGCTTTTCCTGCAGTTCCCATATGCTTTTGCAAAGAGAAACAAAAACATTTTGTTAGTTGTGAGCAATTGATCGCCCCATATTTCACAGAAGTCAAGCAGAAAAACAACAACAAAAAAAGCAGTCAGCTGCTTCCCCCTCCCTTTCCTCTCTGTTCATGGAGGGAACTGTGAAGAGCAGGAAAAAAATTCAGCCCACAGCAAAATACACACACAGCTCATTTTTTTTGCACTGAAAGATATTCTAGGAATTACAGGAGGAATCTTCATTAAAAACAAGCTATCAAAGATCTGGCAGCCAGTGGCATACCAGACAGTAATTCAGTGTTGGGTGTTCGGCTCCATATTCAATGCTAGCTCGGGTCCTCACCGTGGGTAACACAACCCACAGGAATCCAGGCTCCTGCAGCAGCGCATTAAAGAAGGCTGGGAGGGGGACAGTGTGATGAAGAGGTTACAGCCTTCCCGAATCACAGGACAGCTCATTCGATGCCAAATCTGTCTATACCTGCAGGTGTAAAGCGCCCTCCCAGGTGTAGGGCATCCCAGGGAGGTGCTGCCTCGCTAATGCAAATCCCAAAGCAGCGAGGGTGCGAGGGGAGCAGGCAGGCTGCTGGGTTCAGCTGAGAGCAGGCACGTGGGTGTACAAGTATGCGTGTGTCAAGGCTGGAGCATGTGGGAACCGTAGCTGTTTAGTTAGAGATTCATTAAAAAATGTGGCAGACCCAGGGCCAACGTTCAAAGAGGAGCCGTGTGAAACATTTCTCTGGAGAAAGATTAGCGCGTGTTCTTCTTTACACAAATAAAATTAAAGAGAGAATCATAATATGGACAAATCAATTAACTTCTGAAAAGCCAAGGGCACTGCATGCAAGAGCAGATGAGAGGGGAAGAGCTTTGTTACAGGGACACTGAAGCAGTACATGGCCTTTCTTCCCTGGAAAAGAAACTGAGCTATTGCTGCGTGAGGTGCTGACGTTAGCCCAGTCTTCATCATGCTCGCCATCATGGCAACACAGCTGCTTCCTTCCCAAAATGGCCCTGCACATACCCATGTATTGCTATGACCCTACGCATGGAGAGCTCAGGCACGTCTTCGTGAGGACTCTGAAAACACACAGGGGCAAATGTCAAAGGACCACCACAGTGCTCGACTTGGCAGTTTCAGCCCTACGGTAGGAGTTTGAGGCTGACCTTCTGTCTAGGACACCCAGAACAGCACGCACCCTTCTACCAGAATAAAGACTTTCTGTGACGCAGTCTCATGTTCTACAGTTCTCCAGCAAATTTAACCAGAAACGCTCTTTGCAAAGTTAGCGTTTCCTTACAACAATCTAATCTCACACAAAGCCTAATGAGAGGCCAGGTACAATAGGTCAAGAGCCCAATTTTCCACGGAAACAAAGCCAAAAAAACGGTTCAGAGAAGAGAAATCAATCTCTTGCACAGGGCACAGAGTGAAAAACAATTTACCAGAGACAGCTTGCTTGGCAAGATACATTTTATATGTTTTTGTCCTGAGAGGAGTTGTAAGCACCTGAACATCTGACTTCACCGTTCACAAATATATTGATGCTGTTGCTTAAGCTTTGAATAGGAAGCAAAACTAATGCTGTTGTGTTAGTTAACAGTCTATAAGGATGCGCTTCTTCCTAGATTTCATATTTACAGCAACCCACTGTGACAGTTTTTTAGACTTAGCCACGAAAGCTGCCACAGAAAGAGTGAGACTAACAGAAGAGCTGCCATTAATCTTCCATAACCCAGCAACTGGGAAGACCAGACCTTGAACCAAATTCTACTCTCTTGCTATTAATCTCCTGTCCTCTACTTATTAATCCCTTGTCTGTCTTTGTTTTTCAACATTTATTAATCTCCCCAACTGTTTGCAGTAAACAGGCTGCTCAAATCTCATCTCTAGCTACCCATAATTTACAAGACAAAAAAAAAAAAAAAAAGACCACCAAAAAAAACCAAGACGAGGGTAAAGGAAGAAAGTAGGGATGCACATTGCATATCGAAAGGGCAGAATGGAAGTGCAGTTATATTCAGTGGCACGACAGGCTAAAGAAGCAGCATCCCAGTTTCGGCACACTGTACAGACATCTTAATGACTCTCAAGTCAGGTAACATTAGGGCAAATGAAGTAACTCCGTTAGTCAAAACCACCAGGGTAGCAGAAGAACAAAACCCAGCGCACACCCTCCCACACGGCAATGGGCTGCCCTGGACCAGCGCTGGCTCACAACACAGCCCCCAGTGCATGCACCACACATGGCCTTCTGGTGCTGCCAGGGAAACATCACTGCAGCAAGGATTGTCCGGAGCCACCATGCCCTCCTAAGGGCATGACTCCTGGAGAAGCTCACGGCCACTGAGGAGTCACAGACCAACTACCAGCTATCCCTGTTCATTCCTAACCTGCTTCTCAACGGGGCTGCTCACTGCTTTCTTCCCCCAGTTGCCGTGACCTTGTAGCACCTCTAGTACTCCTTCTGCCTCCTGGGATGGCACAACTGAGAGAGATTTGAGGACAACCTACTGCCCTGACACTACTCCTTTTTTGCAATCTTACCTGAAGGCTCAGCCTCACTGCAATTAATCTTCATATCATGGAATGGGCACAAAGCCCAATTCATGTCCTACACATAACCTGGCAAGGAACTCCTACAAGAGTTTGGGGTGGTTTGTCAGGCTGATCCTTAACTCACAGCTAAGAATCTCCAGTGAATTTAATGGAACCAGTAATTCTGAATAATGCATTAACACTGGATATAAGGAAGAAATTTTTTACAATGAGGGTGGTGAGACGCTAGAACAGGTTGCCCAGAGAGGTTGTAGATGCAAGGTCAGGTTGGACAAGGCTCTGAGCAACCTGACTTAGTTGCAGATGTCCCTGCCCATGGCAGGGGGGTTGAACTAAATGACCTTTAAAGGTTCCTTCCAACTCAAACCATTCTGTGATTCTGTGAACATATATTTCTATTCAGGTTATTCTAAATAGGCTTATACACTTTTCTGCTTTTGTCCACTGAAGCATGGTTAGATTAAAGCTAGCGATACAGTAAGCTCTCCATCATCAGCTGCGAGCATATCCAGACTGCAAGAGAGCCATGCTATGGAGGGGGAGAGAGTTCAGGTCCACAAGCAGGGCAGCATCATTCAAAAAGAAGTTGAATTAATACAGCCCACAGGACCAGCACAGCTCCATGCGGAACCATGCAAACGTTCCCATGCAACACTCCCATTCCCAGGAGGCCCTGAACACATTTGCTGCTTCCAGACTTGGACCCAGAAATAGTAAAACCACCTCAAGCCTGCTGGGTTAGCCTGATCTCCACCAACCCAGGCTTTGGAGATACTCCCATCATTTGCTGAATGTGATCCCAGAGCCTTCCCACTGTCTCCAAACTCAGCAGTTGGCAGAAGCCCCGGGACCTGATCCACTTCTCACCTGGAAGCAAGGCAGCCCCGTCAGGCACCCAGACAGACGCAGGGACAGGCTCTTCCAAGGGACCTCTGGGGGTACAAACAGAAAGGTCAGAATCAACATTTTGCTCATCGTAAAATCAGAAACTAAGTCAAGCTGGCTGTGACACCTCGACGAGAAAACAGCCACAGAAGGGCCCATGACACCAGCTGCGCCCCTGTACGAAGCAGACCATAGCTTTTTTCCCTTCTGATACAACTCATGTGTCTGTCTGTCCCTGTTTTGACCCATATAAGGGCTTTTCACACGTTGGCGGGACAGATTACATCTGAGCAAGCACCGGAGTAACTGAGCTTTATTTGGGAGAGAAGCTACTTGTTTTAAATCACTGTAGAGCTGGTGAAAGGCACTGACGTCAGGGCTGCAGGTAACAAGGTCTCTTTCAGAGCCTGACCAGGCAACCTTCTGCCTCTCATGCTTAAAGGACCTCTTCTTCCCAAGCCTCCCCCACCGCTCAGGCTGCCGGCGAGTCGCTCCCGCGGCACTGGCTTTGCTGCGCAAGCACCAAGAAGAACCGAAGCTGAGGTGGGATGCATTAAACACACACCGACTGTGGAAAAAACCAAGCGGCAGGGTGGGACAGCCCAAACCTTACCTCTGCCTCCAGCCCTGGTTTCCTTCTGGGTGCCTCCAAAGACGCCCGGCTAAGAGGAAAACACAGGTTTTCTAAGTTACCACAAGCTGCTTTCAACCAGCAGCCTTTCATACTTCCAAATTATTGATATCTAAGCCTGCTTTGGTGTTTTCTATTTGCTTTCATCTCCATCCTGGAGAAGAAATAAGCAAGTTTAAAAAAATACTAGAAATGATTAGAGAAGGGTCCAGTCCACCTCCACCTGCCCCAGCTCTCCCAGCCCACCATGCTCCCGGCTGCCCCAGGTCACCCCCGCCCCTCCTAACTGCATCCTCGCCCCTATTTTCCTAAAGTCTAATTATCTCTTAACAAATGTGGCTGAGATCAGCCAAGGAGTTAAAAATCATTAAAGAGAGGGAGGAGAGACATACCTAGCCAGTCACATACATGATTTTTTTTAAGGAAAGCAGGCTGAAACCCATCAGCCCCAGCATCAGCTGTCTTTGCTCAGGAGAACCGGGTCTGGCAGGGCAGCAGCTTGGCCCTCCCAGCCCGCGGTGGAGGAAGGGGAGCACAGGGGAGGAGAAGCGCAGCAGTCGCTTCAGATCCACACTGAAGCACAAGAAGCATGGAGAAACTCGCTGCCCACACAGACGCTGGATGTTCCTTTCATATTAGCCATGACAAAAAATTCGTGTTAACATTTTTGCGAGCGCTGTAAGCCCCTATCAAGTAACAGCAGTGAGGCAGACAGGTGTCCCGACCACAGAGGAGACAGCATATGCGAACAGTTTGGAATTTGTTATCACTGTTATTTTTTAAAGGGGGAAACAAATCCCAGAGATTTTTCTGTGCATGATACGTTTTCTGCTCCCTGTTTGATCTTGCTTTCAGAACAAAGACTTCAAATAGCCAACGCTAACCTATGCCTCAAGCCTGCTTTAAACTAATGCCCCTTCTGCGACCAGAAATGAATGCATAGTGAATCACTTATGCCACACACAGCGGGGGTGATGAGCAGCGGCCCACAGCCCCCGAGTGCCGTATGGACACACGCGTGTTGGGGGAAAGGAGATCCCAGCCCTCTCTGCATCACACCTGAAAATTCAGCAGTAGCACCTTCGCACGTTTGGAGCTGGAAAGCACAAGCTCCGGGTCAACAGCCCAACCATGAGCAGTCAGAGAGAACAACATCACTACTGGCATTGTCTGCAAAGTATGTAGATTGATAGATACTTCTATATAACCTGCATAGGCTGCACTTCCACTCTCTCTGCCTGCCTTTGGGAAATGCCTAAGAGAAGCTGCATTTTAATTACTAGCCCCAATCAAGGGAATCTGATCTTGAGCAACCCAAAGTTAAGACTTCAGGGTATGTGGGTCCCAGCTCTTCGCTTCTTTACTGACATTACTGCTTCCAGGAATTAAATCAAAACCCCACTTAACTTCAGAGAGGCTGCAATTTGCATCTAAAACGTTGCCTAAGCCTCAGTTGTAATAAACAGATACAGCTCCACTGAAATCGAAGGAGTTACTCTGATTTTGTCTGGTTATGGATCTAGAGACCCATAAACGTTACAGCTCATCCAACCTCCAGCTAGATATCTTCTAACAGAAGACCGGTATCTTTGCCAGATTGATTTGGACAACTTGTTTAAAGCACTCTTGAAGACTCATTAGCATCTTTGGGGTTTGGTGGTTGTATTTTAAGAATAAACCCCAAAAGCTATTAAACACTTGAAAAAGGCATGTTAACAGTTTACAAACAAAGCTGGAGTGAAGATATAACTAGGGTTTTGGCTTTTCATTCGGAAATTTGTAAAATGGAGGGAGCAAAGAAAACAGAAAAATGAAACTGAGCTGTGCACATGCTGAAAAATCATCCGTGTTACTTGACAGATACTGAATTAAATACAGAGATGAGGGAAGCAAAATCACGCTAGAAAAAACCCAATCTTCTCCTCCTTTTGAACCTTGCTAAGTTATATTTCAGGTATAGTGGACAAACGAGGCTATGCACACCCCAGGAAATACAGATGCACTTTGTTGGCCATCCCTGGCCGTAACAACTGATCTCAGGTCTGGCTCCTCTCCCTCGAGCCTTCCTCACCCCCCTGCAATAAAGCATCCCAGCAACAAAGTCGTGCTGACCATGCTCCCCAGCAGCAGAGCAATGCTACGACCTGTTCTACATCTTTCTGCCCAAGGGTGGATGCTACTGACCATCGCTACATCCATACCATGGACCCATGGTCGTCGTCTTTAAACCACCTCACCAAATGAACTGGTTCCCTTGGGCAAAAGGCCACCCCATCCACTCTAACCGAGCTCCTGTTCAGACTGTTGCATTGCCACAGCTTTGTAGATGAAGGAGAATCTTTGCTTGTTTGTTTTTTTCAGTTGTCCTGCCCAAATTATACTGCCAAGCTTCAATTATAAGCCAAGCCTCAGACAGGAAGAGATGGAAGAGTCTTGCCTGATGTTTTGCAGAAAATCCGCGGGCATCCCAGGCCCTGCCTTGGGGTTCAGGTGCTGATTAGGAAGGGCCATCAATACCTCACTGGAAAGAAGCCCCTTTTAGCAGCTCCTCAACCTGCAAGCCTTCGGAAAGGGCAGCCCAGCATCGCAACCCACTTCAGTCAGATAGAGGAGTGGTGGGGAACATTTGCACTATTTCCTCGGCTGATTTTAATTTCACTCATTTATCACTCAAGGCAGGAAAATACTCTGAGATCTTCGCGTTTGCGTGTCTCTTGCTTCACAAACAGGTTTGCAAACCAGACCATTAAGCAAGGCGACACTGCCAGGTCCTGTGTTAAGACCATAACAAGGGCACTGCAGTGCCGGCCCGTGTCTCACAGCCATCGGGCTGCAGGACGGCAGCGCAGGTGCTGATTAGGAAGGGCCATCAATACCTCACTGGAAAGAAGCCTCTTTTAGCAGCTCCTCAACCTGCAAGCCTTCGGAAAGGGCAGCCCAGCATCGCAACCCACTTCAGTCAGATAGAGGAGTGGTGGGGAACATTTGCACTATTTCCTCGGCTGATTTTAATTTCACTCATTTATCACTCAAGGCAGGAAAATACTCTGAGATCTTCGCGTTTGCGTGTCTCTTGCTTCACAAACAGGTTTGCAAACCAGACCATTAAGCAAGGCGACACTGCCAGGTCCTGTGTTAAGACCATAACAAGGGCACTGCAGTGCCGGCCCGTGTCTCACAGCCATCGGGCTGCAGGACGGCAGCGGACAGGAGCCACGTGTCCCAGCTGCTCTTCTGGGCCAGCACATCACCACACCTACAAGTACGGCTGTGACACTCAGACTGTGCTCCCCAGCTGCACGTGCCTGCACCCACCACAGCTCTTCGCTGGCTCAACAGGGAGAGAGCAGGGAGTAGCACAGCCACACAACATGGACCCACCATCAGCGTGTGCACAGGGGTGGTGGGAGATAGCGACATTTACAGACCCCCAAGGCACACTCCATCATATTCCCTTCTGTTCTTCCAGCCCCGCATGCAGCTTTAAATGCCCATGGCTCCAGACATCCAGCCCACGTGCTGCTACTCCAGCTCAATGAGGAAAGGATGAGCTCCATTTTGCCAGTCAAATGGGAAAAGACCAAAAAAATTTTTTTAATAATAGTATTTTGTTAAAATCAAACAAACACACCCCCAGCCAATCAAACAGGAATGAGAAGAAGTGATATGGAGAAACAGTTTCCTTCAGTGGCAGAGGGCAGCTCCCAGTTGCAACCAAAGCTCGGGTAGCTCTGGTGCAGGAGGCAAGCCATCGTGGTCTGCCATCATTGCGCACCATGGCACAGTCCTCCCATACCAAAGTGCTACTGAACCACGAGAGCAGCTCCTCTGGGAGGGGGAGAGGATGCCCGGGCGTGCTGCTTACTGCTCCCCAGCGCCGTTCGCTGAGCTGGAACTGCAGGAACATGAGATCTGGGACAACGATCACACACGTTCCTCCTGAACTGCAAATCAGTAGCCAAACCACAAGTACCCAGGGGTAGGGGACAGGCAGTACCCAAAAGCAGGCAGGGGCTGCCAGCCCCTTGCCCAAGCCCTGCCATGCACAGCTTCTCTCACAAGCTCCCCGCCTGGCAAGGACCCTCTTTCCACCAGCCAGGTCTCCCTGCTGCTACGTAGGAGCTTCCCAGAGAGACCAAAGAGAAAGTCAGGCACAGCTCAAATAAGCACCTGGATCTACAAACAACAGATTAAATTCTCAAGCTACAAAACTATGTTTTAGCAAAAGTGCAATTGAACTCCATGTACTTGTTACATTTCTAAATATACTCTGGTTGTCAAGACAACAGAGACTGATGGATCTCTAAAGTGTACTGTATCTATTTAATTGTCAGCATTTCAAACTGACTCAAGGAGGGAAAAAAATGCTGCGTGATAAGTCTAATTGTCATGGTTACCACTGGCTAACCCCATAAT